CCCATCCTTTTGGCCTTCTCAAGGATTTTTCTCTTCCTTTGTTCAATCCTCCCCTTCTCCTAAAATTTCTTTTCTAGAGGGTCACCCATATCACTATATAAATACAATAGTATTTCCTATCCTCAAAAAGGCATCCATAACCACCATCTCCATCTAATAATTGCTACAATGTTTTTCTGTTTTCATGGCAAAAGTTCTTGAAAAAGCCATCTCCACTTCCTTCATATTCCGCTTTGGCTTCTGTATCCATTACTCTACTCAATCAGCTTTTTTCAATGACCCTGATATAGCCAAGTCCAATGGTCCCTTTCCTATCTATATCTTACTGACAGTATTTTATATGGGAGATAACTCCTTTCACAAACTACATTCCTCTTTTGACTTCAACGTTATCACTCCATAACCTGTTTCTTCTTGAAAACAGGGTTTCCTTTCTATTTACCTCTCTGCTCACTCCCCAGTCACTGGTACTGGGGTCCTCCTCTGCTTGACCAAAATGGCTCAGCCCTGAGTCCATTTGCTTCCCTTGGTAATCTCATCCACTCCCATGGCTTCTCACTGTGCTCCTTAGATGACCTTGCAAAGCTCTACATGATCTACTCCTTAACTTCCTCATCAGCATTTTTTCTTTTTTTTAATGGAGATGGGGTCTCAGCTCTGTCCCTTTGGCTGAAGTGCAGTGGCTATTCGCAGGCATGATCATAACACGCTCAGCCTACCGAGTAGCTGGGAGGAGAGGCCTGTGCCACCACACCTGACTTTCCCATCTCTTTTTATGTGACTCTTCCCTTGCTCACTATACTTTAGCTGTATTGGAGTTCCTTCTGTTTGTTGAATTCTCCTGCCTCAGCCTCCCAAGTAGCTGGGACCACAGGCATGTGCCACCACACCTGGCTAATTTTTGTGTTTTTAGTAGAAACGGGGTTTCACCATGTTGGCCACGCTGGTCTGGAACTCCTGACCTCAAGTGATCCACCTGTCTCAGCCTCCCAACATAATCTTTCTTACCACTGGCTTTGTCCACGATGTTCTACTTCCTGCAGCATCCTTCTCTCTGTTCTTTGAAGAACTGGCTCCTCAACCTTGATGTGTCATCTAAGTCACTTCTCAGATGCCTTCTCGTACCTTCTTCCCCCACCCCCATCTTTTTATATTATCCCTCCTTGTTTATCTCCTTCATAGCCCTTGCCATAAATCATGTTCTGCTTTTTGTTTTTTTTTTTTTGTCACTGGCCTAATGTTTACATACCATGAGGGTAGGGAGCACATCATCATCAGTGTAAGCTTAGCACCCAGCACGGTGACAGACAAATAATAGGCATTCAGTGTGTGTTGACTTAATCAATTATCTGGGACTCATTTATTAACTTATTAACAAACATTTATTGAGTACATAATAGGTGCCAGGTATTTGTGCTGGATCCTGGATACAGAGGCAATCTCAAGATCTTTACAGCCTAATGGAGGAACAAAGACCAAGACAATACTGTGTGATAAGTGTTATGACATGGGTAAGACCACTTTTAACCAATACAGCCTTTTGGAGGGTGTGTAATGGAAAATATTTCCCTGGGTTCAGCTTCACTAGAACCCAAGATTAATCTAAATGTTGGTCCTCTTTTATTCATGCCAGATGGCTGAAATCACAGTATCAATTATAAGGCAAGACAAATTTGCATGCAGAGTATGAGGGAAACTGTGAATTACCATGTAATAGTCTAAAGCAGCTGCTTATTACTCTCTTATCTATTTGTTCCCATGAGTACATAAGTAAACTGGAAACTCAGGAAATAAACATTTCAGTTTGAATCTGTCTTTAATAGGCACACCATATATGACAAATTTAAAATATTTTCCAAAGTTCTTGCACCCATTATATCTAAATTTGATATCATTATCTAAAGATTGAAGGCACTGGACTTTAAAAAAGTACTGCGGCATTAAGAAATAGTATTCAGGGCCAGGCGTGGTGGCTCATGCCTGTAATCCCAGCACTTTGAGGGGCCGAGGCGGGTGGATCATTTGAGGTCAGGAGTTCAAGACCAGCCTGGCCAACATGGTGAAACCCCATCTGTACTAAAAATACAAAAATTAGCCAAGTGTGGTGGCACATGCCTGTGATCCCAGCTACTTGGGAGGCTGAGGCAGGAGAACTACCTGAGCCTGGGAGGCAGAGGTTGCAGTGAGCTGAGATCACGCCACTACACTCCAGCCGAGGCAACAGAGCAAGACACCATCTCAAAAAAAAAAAAAATTCCCATGAGATCATAAATCCCAATTTATGAATCTGAATCCCCAATACCCAGCCTAGAACCTTTTATTTATTAGACATAATATATGTTTGCTACAGTAAAGGAAATACAGCTACAAATACTAAGTCATCACTAGATATGCTGAATTTCTACTGAAATGGAACAAACTAAGTTTCTTTTTTTCAATATATAACATTATTTTACAAAATCACATTGCTTGGGGTATTTTTCTAGCTGCATTCCCAATATAATCCAATTAATATATATGTAAGTCCTGTTCTGAGAAGCTCAAGGATTTTTACAAACATTATCTCATTAATACTTTTAACATCTCTAATGAGGGAAAAAGATGAAATTATGAATCCATAATCCACATGAATCCATGAATTCATAAATTCCACAAATTCCATTCAGCAAAAATTCCATCCATTTTGCAATTTATGATGCATTTTGTGCATCATTTTCTTTCTGCATACACCTAAGGTACCTATTTACTCATTACAACTGGATGTGTTGGCCTATACCAAAAATATTTTCATTATTTACTTAAGAAAGCAAAAATTTCACCAAGTGTTACACACAGTACGCAAAATGCAGAACATAAAAATGATGAATCTAATCTCCAAATAGTACTTCAACTAACAAGAAGACTGGAAAATATTTAGGAATCAGATACATTATTTTCTTCAAACTTTAGTAGTCAAAGACCAACAGCCTAGTGTCAGCTTTAGCTTCTTTGTGCTCCCTATAATTTGGTTCTTTTGTGCTAGGATCTTCTAGTAAACCTTAGTGACTGCCCATCTAGGAACCATTTCCCCCGCTCTCCTTTTTTTTAAAATAAATTTTATTGTATACATTTAAGGTATACAACATGTTATGAGATACAACCAGATAGTAAAAAGGTTACTATAGTGAAGAAAATTAATATACCTATTGTCTCACACTTACCCGTTTTTGTGGCAAGAGGAACTAAAATCTACTCATTCAGCATGAATCCCAAATACAGTATAATTTTATTATGCATAGTCCTCATGTTGTAGATTAGACTTCCAGACTTATTCATCTTACCTATTGATGCTTCCCCTTCTCCTATGTTACAAGGATCCCACTTTTCTCAGGTAACATTGTGCTCAGCCCCAGGAGATAAATCATGATTGATTAGATAATCCTGATCCCCTTTGCCTGTAACTGGTCATGGTCTAAAACTGGCCTATAAGTTGAAGGAAGGTGCTGGAGGTCCCTTCCTCCCTGATAACAGGGTAGCAAGAGTAGAGTAGGTTCTTTTGCCCCCCAGCCAATTTCTTTGTGCTTACAAAGTTGTCAGGTTGAGACCTGATAGAGCTGAGATACTATCTTCAGACATGAGGGGAAGACCAAGAGAACTTCCATGATCCTTTCTCTGCACTCAGACATAAATCACTGAGTCTCATAGCTTCTGTTTACATGAAATAAATGTTATTTTCACCCAAGTCACTGAGGGTCAGATACTCTGTACCCTGAAGTTGAAAACATCCTGATTAATACAGATGGAACAGAAAATCAGGCAAGAAGGGAGGTATCGAGTAATCATTGAGCACTATGACTTCTGAAATTTCATTTGATCTTGACAACAGCCCAATAAAAATTATTAATCTTTTTTGGCTTATTTTCACAGATTAGAAAACTAAGGCTTAGTAAAGTTATATAATTAATAGTAACAAAGCTGAAATCTGATTCCAGACCTGATACCAGATCTCAAAAATATAAAATCTCCTTCCCTCATTATTTACAACTCTAAAAAAAAATAAAAAACAACAAAAAACTAGATGTGTTTTTAGCTAATGAAATTTGGGGAGAGCTAAAGAATATCATTCCTAAAACCTTGTCCTAAGAATCTACAGACTTCAACTCTATTTTGTATCAAAGTTATATGAGAGAAAAGAAAAAATATGTGTGCATGTGTATCAAGAGTTCCAAAATATTTTGTACAATGGCAAAAATTTCAACAGAAAAAAGTGGAATGGACTCTAGGTGTAATATTTTTCAAGAATTAAATGTAATTTTTATTTTTATTTATTGTATTTAAATGCAATTATTCAAGAATTAAAAAATTTAAAAGTTAATGACAAATATCTCCTAAGCTAAGAGAATAACTTCTGGCCGAGCGCAGTGGCTCACGCCTGTAATCCCAGCACTTTGGGAGGCTGAGGCGGGTGGATCACAAAGTGAAGAGATCAAGACCATCCTGGTCAACATGGTGAAACCCCGTCTCTACTAAAAATACAAAAAATTAGCTAGGCATGGTGGCACGTGCCTGTAATCCCAGCTACTTAGGAGGCTGAGGCAGGAGAATTGCCTGATCCCAGGAGGCGGAGGTTGCAGTGAGCCGAGAACGCGCCATTGCACTCCAGCCTGGGTAACAAGAGTGAAACTCCGTCTCAAAAAAAAAAAAAGAATAACTTCCTTATTTCAAACTATTACATTAACCAAGTAGGTAACAATACAGAAACCACAAAGTTTACACTTCCTCAATTCTCATCTCTTCATGAAAACTGACTCAGCGTAAATCATGGCAACAAAAAATTATATAAACTAAAAATCAGTGATGTCATTTTTTTTATACAGAAATTTACTAGAATTGGATTTTCAAAAAAGCTATTTATGTCAATTCAACCAAATATAAATTCACCTTACAATGCCTTTATTACTATCTAATTAAGCATTACAAAATGGGCATGCCAGATTTCTGAGCTTACACATGCAACTTACCTTCCCACATGCTCTGCAATGATGCCTCCTTTTGGTGAATGTAAACCTGGCTTCACATTTCATGCAATTTGGAGCCTGAGAATCCGGTACCCATACTGGAGCCACCTCACCCAGAGTGGTGAATGGCTTTCTAGCAGAAATTCCAAACTGACCAGCTCTGAGATCATTATCTGGGCTATCTGGAGCTAATGCAAGGCATGGTCTATTGGAGAGCTCAGCCTCATAATTTTCTAAATGTTCCCCATTTGTATCAACATTAGAGATGTTTCCCAAAGATGCACTGCATACATTGGTTGCTGAGTTTTCCCCTAATTTTGCTTTCCCAAGAATATCATTTTTATTTTTAGTATTATTTCCACTGTTTGCAGGAAGGTCATTTTGTAAATGGTCTGATAATGGCTTTGGAATTTGAAGCTTAAGATTAGAAGGTTGCTTGGGTCTTGCACCACCAAAAGGAACACTGATAGTTGGCAGGCTTGCTACTAGCTTGGGGGAAGATTGCCCAAGCACTGATGGAACTTGACTACAGAAATTACGTAAATAATTTTTCTTCATTAGGTCACCAGTGCTGTTTAAAAGCAGTCCACTTCCTTCTGTGGCCTCATTTCCTCTCTGTTCATAAATACTTGAGTAGCATTCTGACTTGCTCTCCTCTATTTCTTTTTCTTCTGTTACTGAATCTTCTTTGGAGGGTAAAGTCTTTGGAACAAAAGAAACACCTGGGCTCTGCATTCCATAGGAATCACAACCATTAGATAGAGAATTTGCTGCTGGTGTATCTATAACAGTGGAGAAATCACATTCTTCACTTTCACTGATGTAAGTTCCTTTTAAATCTAGACCTGTATCTGCCAATCCAACACACTGTCCTCCACTATCACCACTAGTGTCCTCAGGCTGACTAATCTGTAGAAACTTTTCCTTTTCTTCGTTTATTTGGCTATCATTCATCTCATTTCGTTTAGTCAACTTCCAATTAGTCAAGTCCTGAGATTCAGAGAAATGCTCTGTGATATTAAGGAATTCTGTAGTGCCAAGAATTTCTTCATGTTCATAACCTTCATTTTCAACAGCCCTAACTTCACTAGGCACAAGGAAATCTGAAAATCGTTCGCAGTCATTATCCCTTCCAGACCCATTAGGCACGTCTGGTTTGAGAAGCAAAGGTAAACCAGACTGGAGGGATTCTTCAGTTGTGCTCTCCTCTGCTGGCTCTTTATTCATCAAAATCCCCTCACTCTTGTCGGAAAATGAATTTGGACTCCCTAGATCTGTCCTAGGAGAGCTGATTTTGCCAGTGAGGTCCTGATCTGGTATATAGTTCTCTGGCTTTTTAATAACAGGACCTCCATCTGTTCCCTGGGATGAGATTACTGAATCAACTGTTAAACTTGTAATCGTAGACATGGAGGGATCTCCACCTATACTTCCATCATCCTTTAGTTGTGAAGGGGAACAGACACTGGCTAAACTATCAGATGAAGTAGCACACAGATGGTTAACAGAACTCCCCTCTATTTTCGGTCTATTCAATGGATCCATTTGTTTCTCTGAGTTCATATCTTTTTCAGTGGACTCATTTATACTAAAACTAAACTGATCAGTTTGTCTGTTTTCATTATCCAGTGAACAGCTAAAAGCATCCATAAGGGATTGACTATTATAATTATTACAATCCTGTAAATCGTTTTGTAATGTCCTTTTATCACAGCTATGCATGACAGCTACAAGAAGAACATTCTTCTCATCTGGCAGACAAGCCAGGTTTCCACATTTCTTCTCTCCTACTTCAACAGCACTGCATTGATCATGCCGACTATAGTTTCTCTTAATTAACTGATCTTCTGTAACGGCATTTTCATCAATCCACATTGTGGCAATCTCTGGATTTAGATTACAGTCCTGTCCATTAGCACAATGATCCTCTTCCTCTGTGGTCAGGGGAGTTGCATGAGCCACAGAGAAGACTTTCAGTTGTGGTTGTGACTCATTAGAAACTGCAGATTCATTCACACTGGCCAAAGCAGCGTTAAATGACAGCCGGTGAGAAGTGGGATCTAGAATCTTATTCCACTTTGTATCCAATAAAGTAGAAGAAACTGTTTCATCTGGAAAAAAATAAGTAATTATAAGTTTCCTGGTAACAATGGAAAAGCTACTATGACTAAGTTAATCAACATTTCCAACTATCCTTTGAAAATTAAATATTCCAAGGATGTAAGATTTCTAATTTGGGGCTAAAAAAAATATATTTCAGACAATTCTTTGCAATTATATGTCACCAAATGGTAAAAACTCAGACTATTCCAAACAACAAAAAAATTCTACCTCAGGCAGGGCAAGATGCCTCACGCCTGTAATCCCAGCACTTTGGAGGGCCAAGGCGGGTGGATTACCTGAGGTAGGGAGTTTGAGACCAGCCTGACCAACATGGAGAAACCCCGTCTCTACTAATAATACAAAAATTAGCCAGGCGTGATGGCGCATGCCTGTAATCTCAGCTACCCAGCAGGCTGAGGCACAAGAATCGCTTGAACCCAGGAGGTGGAGGTTGTGGTGAGCCGAGATTGCCACACTGCACTCCAGCCTGGGCAAGAAGAGCAAAACTCTGTCTCAAAAAAATATAAAATTCTACCTCAATCTAGTAACATAATTAAACTGACCCACAGGTGAATGGGACCCAGAAGAGGGGAAAGCACCCTTTGAGCACAAGGCAGGACGGGAGCTAATCTAATGGATTAGATGGAAAAAATATTAGAACAGTGGTTAGGATACAGTAATTAAAAAGGAAGGAAAACAAAGACATTTTCTGTGGAGAGTGAATGCTCTATAATCTATATCATAATTGGATGTGGGTTTGTGTGATATACCCATTTGTTAAAACTGGACAGTTACCAACTATGCATTCTAATGTTTATAAAGTTTACTTTTAAAAACGTTGTAAAAAAATAATGAAGCAGGGAGAAGCCGATAAAGGTATAAATGAAACAAAATGGCAGCATATCAAATGCTGTGAAAGCTGGATGACGGGTAGACTAGGGTTTATTATACTTTATATATTTTTTAAATTTGCCCAACACATGTTAAAAATGTTGCCACAGTATGTGAAATTCCGCTTATAACCATGTCACACTACATTATTAATCAGATTCATATTTATATTACTATCTGAGGACAATGGGTAAAAAGTACTCATTTATCATACTATACCAACCTGCTTACAGTCTACCAATAAGCATAATTTCATATAATGTTTCTTTTTTTCTTTTAATTTCTTGATAGTAGTTCTCAAGGAATTTTTTTTTTTTTTTTTGGAGACAAAGTTTCGCTCTTGTTGCTTAGGCTGGAGTGCAATGGCAGATCTTGACTCACTACAACCTCGGCCTCCCGGGTTCAAGCAATTCTCCAGCCTCAGCCTCTCTAGCAGCTGGGATTACAGGCACCCACTACCACGCCCAGCTAATTTTGTGTATTTTTGGTAGAGACAGGGTTTCACTAAGTTTGCCAGGCTGGTCTCAAACTCCTGACCTCAGGTGATCCTCCCTGTCTCAGCCTCCCAAAGTGCTGGCATTACAGGCTTGACCTACTTCACCTGGCAGCTCTCTGTTTACTTTTTAACAGATCATAACTACAATGGATAAGTTATTCTCTCAAGTTATAGGGCTATTGATAAGTAAATTAGAGAGATAAGGAACAATGCACTCCATGTCTTTCCTGCTTTTTTTCTCCAGTGTCTCTGATAATCATGGGCCTGAAATTATGCATATATATTTGTAAACTAAATCCTCATCTGTAACATTAATCTCCAATGTGTCCATATCACCTTAATCCAAACTCTATAAAGGCATTTACTACACTGAAATGCAACGGTTTATTCACCCATCTGTTTCAATCACTGAATGATTTCTGAATGCAGAAACCATTTCTTTCCATCAATATAAGTCCTCACTTTGCATAGTGCCTGACAAATTTTAGATACACAATAAACATGTAAGTGAGTATCTACCATAGTAAAAGCATTAGGATTGAGGAACATGAAGATTAAATGATAGCTCTTGCCTCTAAGAAGTATATAATCTCTCTTTTTTCTTTTCTTTTCTTTTTTTTTTTTTTTTTTTTTTTTTGTGCTTCCCCTAGGAGAGCAGAACCTGGTAGCATCTGTCTGTTTAGAGAAGTATATAACCTCATTGGGAGAATAAGCGATAGATACTAATATCTAATCAGCAGTATGGAATAGCACAGATACAGTAAGTCCTCACTTAATGTTGTTGATAAATTCTTGGAAACTGCAATTATAAGCAAAACAACTCACTGTATAAGGAAGCCAATTTTACTATAAGCTAATTGATATAAACAACAGTTAAGGTTCTATGGCATACAGTACATCATTTTGCTTAAAATAAGTTTCCAAGAACTTATCAAAGACATCAAGTGAGGACTTAGTGTACTTGAAAACTATTATGTGGAAATAGAAAATAAATTCAGAGGAGAAGGATATTTTCCAGAATGAGGTTAGCGAGCTTGAATTCATGGAGGCAGGAAGAACTGGGCTATACTTCAAAAACAGTTTGGAAAAGAAAGCATTAGTAAATAAAGGAATAAGAGAAAGCATATCCCTAAATATAAGAATTTAAAGAAGCAATAAGTAAATCAGTTTGAGTTGACAAAAGAATTAGTATAAAGAAGCAGTGAAAAGAAGTTAAAAAGGGCACAAAATTCAGATTGTGTGAAGAATGAGCTTAGTATCCTCTGAAATGTTAAATCCTGAATTTACCAAATTTGGATCAGCAGAGATTTGAAATTTAGTAACACAGGCTTCCTTAAAAGAGGGGGGCAGGGAAGCAAAGAAGTCATATTTCCAATATGGTTCCTGGAAATAAAAAAGAGTTACAGCTTCTTACAAGAATATTTAGCAATGTTCAATCAGAAATGATCAGGCATTAAAATTTTCATTATTCAACCACCTCCTACCTGGGCATAATGTTAACTGCCTAGTGTCACCCAGTCTGTGGTATATTTTCTCATTTAAAGGAGAAAATAAAGTAACACAAAATGAGAAATCATTTTATTTAAAGTATATTCTCTAAGATACCATGAGGCTAGAAGTGATAGTTTTTAATGCAACGGATAGTGAGATTCAAAACAAGGTTCAAACAAATGGACAATGAAGTTACAACCAATAAGCTGGTTTCAGAAATCCTTCTCCTTCTAAAGGAGTTATTATTTTGTAAGCAATTGTTCTATTTTTTAATTTATTTTTTGGGACAGAGTCTTGCTCTGTCACCCAGGCTAGAGTGCAATGGCGCAATCGCCACTCACTGCAACCTCCACCTCCTAGGTTCAAGCGATTCTCCTACCTCAGCCTCCTGAGTAGCTGGAATTACATGCATGGGCTACCATGCCTGGCTAATTTTTTTTAGTAAAGATGATGTTTCACCATGTTGGCCAGGCTGGTTTCGAACCCCTGACCTCGTGATCCGCCCACCTCGGCCTCTCAAAGTGCTGGGATTATAGGCATGAGCCACCGCACCAGGCCAGCAATTGCTCTATTTTTATAACTAAAATATTTTTACTGATTCAACAAAAATGTATTGGGAAAAACAACTATACACAAAGCACCCTAACATAATCTACAGAAGTCACAAAGACAAATGTAATGCTAAGAGTTTTATTAGAGTCAGTGGTATTCTAGAAGCACAGTATTCATATGATTAGGTGTAATACATGTCTAGGTACCTTATGACTTAAAGAACTGTGATACACAGAGGGCTAAATCAAAGAAAGGATTAAGAAAATACTTTTTTTTATTTGTATTTATTTATTTTTTATTTTTTTTGAGACGGAGTTTTGCTCGTTACCCAGGCTGGAGTGCAATGGCGCAATCTCGGCTCACCGCAACCTCCGCCTCCTGGGTTCAGGCAATTCTCCTGCCTCACTCAGCCTCCTGTGTAACTGGGATTACAGGCATGCGCCACCATGCCCAGCTAATTTTTTGTATTTTTAGTAGAGACGGGGTTTCACCATGTTGACCAGGATGGTCTCAATCTCTTGACCTCGTGATCCACCCACCTCAGCCTCCCAAAGTGCTGGGATTACAGGCTTGAGCCACCATGCCCGGCCAGGATTAAGAAAATACTTATACAAACAGTTGAAACTCAGAAAACAATATACCTTCCAGCTTGGTATGTACAAAGCCCAACTGGATGAAGTAAAACCCCAAATGATCAGATTTCACATTTATATGAATCAGGAATGAGCCTAGGAACATAGGTTAGTGTTAGGCCATCAATGGTAAAATATGAGAAGAGCAGGCCATTCTGGCAGCCTTCCTCTCTCTTTTCTCTCCTTACTGTCATGATCCCATATTCAATTTAAGGCTGGCTCTGTCACCTGAGCTGGAGTACAGTGGCAATGATCACCAGGGCTCAAGTGATTCTCCCTCCTTGACCTCCCAAATAGCTGGGACCACAGGTGTGCCACCACGCCTGGCTAATTTATTTGTATTTTTTGTAGAGATGGGGTTTCACCATGTTGCCCGGATTGGAATCACAGACTTTAAATAGAAATATATCACTTTGTAAACTTGTTATATGCCATTTCCTCTTAGAAATAGAGAACACAGGCTGGGTGCAGTGGCTCACACCTATAATCCAAGCACTGCATGCCACTGCACTCTAGCCTGAGTAACAGAGCAAGACTCTGTCTCAAAAAACAAACAAATAAATAAAAGCAGCCAGGTGCAGTGGCTCATGCCTGTAATCCCAGCACTCTGGGTGGCCGAGGTGGGTGGATTACCTGAGGTCAGGGGTTCAAGACCAGCCTGACCAATATGGTGAAACCCCATCTCTACTAAAAAATACAAAAAGTAGCTGAGCATGGTGGTGGGCACCTGTAGTCCCAGCTACTCAGGAGGCTGAGACAGAAGAATTGCTTGAACCTGGGAGGCAGAGGCTGTAGTGAGCCAAGATCGTATCACTGAACTCCGGCCTGCGTAACACAGCAAGACTCCGTCTCAAAAAAAAAAAAAAGAAAAGAAATTTCTTAGAAGAGACAGAAGTGGAAAAAAAGAAAAGACACAGGGAAGTAGGGTAAAGAGAACATAGGGGAAGTAGAGTAAAGAGAAATAAATTTAATTATGGCTTACTCATTCAAGTTAAACCAAGAGGGAAATTTAAAGAAAAGTCTTCCCTAAATAGAAGTGAATCTTGGCCAGGCATGGTGGCTCATGCCTATAATCCCAGGACTTTGGGAAGCTGAGGAGGGAGGACTGCTTGACACCAGGAGTTTAAGACCAGCCTGGCTAACATGGTGAAACCCCTTCTCTACTAAAAACACGAAAATTAGCCAGGTGTAGTGGCAGGTGCCTGTAATCCCAGCTACTCTGGAAGCTGAGGCACAAGAATCTCAATCCAGGGAGACAGAGGTTTCGGTGAGCCAAGACGGCATCACTGCACTCCAGCTTGGGAAACAGAGCAAGACTTTGTCTCAAAAAACAAACAAACAAAAGAAGTTAATCTTAAGTGGACATTTCTACTGAAGCTTGAGAAAGTATAATTAACCATTTAGGCAGTTGTGATATAAATAGTTTTAAATGTATCTTTACTTTATGGGGCAATCAGTATGAAATGAGCTATATTTCTTAGTTTGGGAAATGCAAGCACATTTCTTAAACACACATTCATTGTATAGGGTAGGTAAAGCTCAGCCTCTAGTGTTATACTGCCTGGATTCTAATCCTGCCACTTGTAAGATTGTTTTGAGAAAAGTGCTTAACCTCTCTGTGCCTCTATTCACATCTATAAAATGGCAATGAGAAGGTCTGTGGGACTGTATCTAAATATTCCTTATTTGGTGCTAAAAATATTATTTCTTCCTCTATATATTATTAAATAGTAATATTATCATTAAGTCATCAGACCTGATTTTATTTTTTAAGTACTGCATCTTCTTATATCCCCAAGTTCTCTATACCACAAATGCAAAGATTCACCGATATAAATTCTCACCTTCGTTTTGTTCAAATTCATCTAACACCTTGTCCAGGTTGTAAGCTTCTGCTTGGAAGTAATTCTCCATCGGTGAGGAAACACCGCTTAAGAGACTTGTTTAAACCTAAAAAGTAAATGTGTATTACAATTTGAATAATTAAAATATAATTCATAAATCTTAAGTATATACACAAGGATAAAATCTCTTATAAATCTTTTCAGATAACAGTAAACTATAAAACTTGGCATCCACTGGATATATTGTAAGATCTTTAATCTAATGAATTCTAGAAACCTGTAAGCTGACAACCAACAAAATATAACTCAACATAAAAGGAAGACTTCGTGATCATTTCATGCTTCAAAAGACACATTTCAGATGCTAGGAAAGGAATCATTGTTTGGTATAAAATTATGTTTCTATTAAAAAACAAAGCTTACATAATTTTTTTCAAATGGGAAATGACAGGAAAGTTTAAGTACAGGAGTAAGAGATACTAGTTAATGATGACTCTCACCTATTCTTTTTTTAATTTTTTTGAGAGGAAGTCTCTCTCTTGCCACCCAGGCTGGAGTGCAATGGCTTGATCTAAACTCACTGAAACCTCTGCCTCCCAAGTTCAAGCAATTCTCCTACTTCAGCCTCCTGAGTAGCTGGGATTACAGGCATGCACCACCAGGCCTGGCTGATTTTGTACTTTTAGTAGAGACAGGGTTTCACCATATTGGTCAGGCTGGTCTCTGACCTCAACTGATCTGCCCATCTCGGCCTCCCAAAGTGCTGGGATTATAGGTATAAGCCACTGCACCTGGCCCTGACCCGGTTATTCTTTTAACCCTCTTCTTTGCAAGTACCATTTCTAAACTTTCTTTAATGTTAATTGATCCAAAAGTATTCTCTGGGCATATACACTAGGTGTGTCAACGATTTAACAGATGGCAAGGGCACATAATAGGTGTTAAATAAATGCTACCTATTATCTACTTTTTCCATTCATTATCACGATATCCACATCTATCTATTTACTTAAGGTCTCAAATTTTTCTTTCCAACTGAAAATTCTGCTTGGGGCCGGGCACAGTGTCTTTCCCCTGTAATCCTAGCACTTTGGGAGGCCAAGGCGGGCAGATCACCTGAGATCAGGAGTTTGAGACCAGGCTGACCAACATGGTGAAACCCCGTCTCTACTAAAAATACAAAAATTAGCAGCGTGGTAGCAGGCACCTATAATCCTAGCTACTTGGGGGGCTGAGGCAGGAAAACTGCTTGAACCCAGAAGGTGGGGGGTGCAAAGAGCTGAGATTGCGCCATTGTGCTCCAGCCTGGAGGACAAGAACGAGACTTTGTCTCGAAAAAGAAAAAAAAAGAAAATTCTGCTTGGCTTCTTATTGATACAATATAGGGGAGAGAGGTCAAATTACAAATTCCCCAAAAAGTCTGAGCAAGGAAAACATGAAAAAGAGAGAAAATCAGAAATGTAATAGCCTGCTTTTATAAACTTTAAGTCAAATATAAAAAATGATGAACTTTCTTTCACCTACTAAAGTAGTGTTTCTTCTTCTCTGAGGTATATAAAAGTGTCAATGATAGTTCTCTCATTTTACAAATAAGAAGACAAGTGTAGGGACTTTAATTGACTTATTCAAGTATATCCCGGCCACGTTAGGTGGCTCGTGCCTGTAATTCCAGCACTTTGGAGGCCAAGGCGGGTGGATAAGGAGTTTGAGACCGGCCTGGCCAACATGGTGAAACCCTGTCTCCAGCAAAAATACACAAAAAATTAGCCAGGCGTGGTGGTGTGCACCTATAGTACCAGCTACTATGGAGGCTGAGGTGAGAAAATTACTTGAACCCAGGAGGTGGAGGTTGCAATGAGCCGAGATAGCGCCACTGCACTCCAGCCTAGGCAATGAGAGCGAAGCTCCTTTCAAAAAAAAAAAAAAAAAGTATTTCCCCATGATTATTAATTTGGTTAACATCTATAGACTGACTGGCTCCTACTAGGTTATTTAAGTTTAGGTAGGCAAATAGGCTACGTAATCTGTGAATGGTTTTTTTTGGAGATGAAGTCTCACTCTGTCACTCAGGCTGTAGTGCAGTGGTTTGATCTCAGCTCACTGCAACCTACCCCTCCTGAGTTCTGAGTTCAAGCGATTCTCCTGCCTCAGCCTCCCGAGTAGCTGGAACTACAGGCATGTGCCACCATGCCTGACTAATTCTTGTATTTTTAGTAGTGGGGTTTCACGTCAGCCAGGCTAGTCCCAAACTCCTGACCTCAAGTGATCCGCCCATCTCAGCCTTACAAAGTGCTGGGATTACAGGCATGAGCCACTGCAGCCAGCCCATAATCTATGAATGGATTTTGTTTTAAATATCTATCTTTGTCGTCTAATTACTTACAGGTCAAAATCATGATCATATGCACATTACAGGTCAAAATCATTTTCATATGCACAAACATTTTTGATAAGTTGCACATTTTATCTGTCTACTAATGCTAAGAGCAAATGAAATTTCTCACAGCACACAGTCTGGCACATTTAATATACACCTACAATATTTAACAGCATTTTATGGTCATTATATATAAAATATTAGTAAACATCAGATCAACATATTTATCTATTGCATCTACTATATGAGTCTATACTGTAATCAAGTATCAGATTTAATCTCTAACATTATGAAGCTTATAAGTCAACAGTAAACAATGCTAAGAAAATTTAAATAAAAATAAATGATTTTAATAACTCAGCACAGGAGATACCAAGTGATTAATTTGTCAGATAAAAGATAAGTGCTATAGAGTAAGTAGTACAGAACTTCAAGAAGTTAAGTTCATTATTCTTCATTTGATCTCTTTGCTCAAATACCACTTTCAAAGGGAAGTATCCTATGAACCCCCAGAAAAGGTGATGGCTCCCCTGATAAGGGGACAGATGGAGACAAGAGGCAGTTACCCCATCTTCAAGTTTAAGACAGCCTGAAGGCCAAAAAACTGAACTGCCCGTCCCAGCTGCCCTTTCCCGACTGATTTTTCTTTTTTAATTTATATTCAGGATACATGTGCAGAACATGCAGCTTTGTTACACAGGTATATGTGTGCCATGGTGGTTTGCTGCACCAACTGACCTGTCCTCTAAGTTCCCTCCCCTCACCCCTGACCTCCCAACAAGCCCTGGTGTGTATTGTTCCCCTCCCTGTCCAACTGATTATTTCTGAATAATGCCCACCTGCACACTGGGAGGATGAGGTGGGGCCTAAGGAAGTTCTCCCCATTTGTAAGGGGAAGAAACTTGACTTCTCCTGTTTCTGTGTGGTAACCTGAGATTCAATCTGTAAGATGGAAGCCTGTTAACAGAAACCCCTCTCACTTTGCTGAGTTTTTTTTTCCTTTTTGCCCAATAAATTCCCTTCCCCCTCACCCTTCAAAGTGTCTACGAGCCTAATCTTTCCTGGTCGTGTGACCAGAACCCGGTTTTTTCTACAACAATAATCCCTCATGGCACCCCATTCTTGGTCCTTATAACATTTATCACCCACTAGGCGTGGTGGCTTACACCTGTAGTCCCAGCACTTTGGGAGGCCAAGGCAGGTGGATCACGAGGTCAAGAGATTGAGACCATCTGGCCAACATGGTGAAACCCTGTCTCTACTAAAAATATAAAAATTTGCTGGATGTGGTGTTGCACACCTGTAGTCCCAGCTACTCGGGAGGCTGAACCCAGAGACAGAGGTTGCAGTAAGCCAAGATCATGCCACTGCATTCCAACCTGGTGACAGACTGAGACTCTGTCTCAAAAAGCAAGCAAAAAATTTATCACCATCTATAAATACACCTCAGTGTGATTATTTGTCAATCTCTTCCACCAGACTGTAGGTACAACAGGGCACCCACCAGACTGTTCACCATGTATTCCTGGTGATTCACATAGAGCCTGACGTACTAATGTGGTATCTATTTCAATTAATACCTGTGGAATGAATAAACGAAGAGTGTATAAGCAGCTGGTCAAGTTGTTCTGAACTCCAACTGATTCAAACAAGCATCAAAAATGAATGCTAAACTATTACATTAAATAACTGGTTATTGGGGAAGAAACTATTCACAGTCCGTCAGAGTATCATTACACAGGTAAATGGCTAATTTCAAAGAAGGAAATGTATGTTTACAATGAGAAGCTATGGCAATCATCAACTTAGCCAAATGATTTAATTTAGTACCACCAACGGTTTAACAAACTGACATTATGCACTTTCCAATACAGTGCAATGAGAAATATAAAACATGACCTATACAGTATTCTTGCCCAAATATGTAGCCTTAATTTAATCCTGAGGAGACAATATGATAAATCTAGAATGTGAGGCATTCTATATGTGATCTGAACTTTCCAAAATATTAAATGTGGCTGGGTGCAGTGACCCATATCTATAATCCCAGTACTTTGGGAGGCCGAGGTGGAGGATTGGATTTCTTGAGCCCAGAAGTTCAAGAGCAGTCTGGGCAACATAGCAAGCCTCCATCTCAACAAAAATAAAAATAAAAATTAGCCAGGTGTGGTAGTGCAGCTATGAAAGAGGCTGAGGTGGGAGAACGTTTAAGCCTAGAAGTTCGAAGTTACAGTGAGCTATGACTGCACCATTGCATTCTAGGCTAGGTGACAGAGCAAGACCTCGTCTTTAAAAAAAAAAAAGAATATATTTTTTTTAAAAAGGAAAAAAACAAGATAATTCTCAACTAGAACAGACAAAACATTAAATAACCAAGTGTCGCCCAGTGCGGTGGCTCACGCCTTTAATCCCAGCACTTTGGGAGGCTGAGGCAGGCAGATCACAAGGTCAGTAGTTTGAGACCAGCCTGGCCAACATGGAAAAACCCATCTCTACTAAAAATACAAAAAAGTAGCTGGGCATGATGGCGCATGCCTGTAATCCCAGCTACTCAGGAGGCTGAGTCAGGAGAATCACTTGAACCCAGGAGGTGGAAGGTGTGGTGAGCCAAGATCCCGCCATTGTACTCCAGCCTGGACAACAAGAGGGAAATTCTGTCTCAAAAAAAAAACAACCAAGTCATGCACTGACTTGATTCTGAAACAAGAAAACATACATACACACACAGCATAAAATAACATTTTGAGAACAATCTCAGAAGAAATTTGGATATGGATTATAACATTGAATTATTTTCTTAGATGTAATAATGGCATTCTGATTTTGCAGGAGAATGCCTTACTTGTTCTCTTAGGATGCCTGCTGAAGTGTTTAGAGAGGGAGCATTGTGTTGTCTACAACTAACTTTTAAATGATTCAAGGAAAAAAAAAACAACTTTGTGAGAGTGTATGTACGGGAAGGGAGAGATGTGTGCAAAAGGGACAAAATGGTAAAAAATTGGTATCTCTAGCTGAAGGATATATGGGTCTTAATTGTTCTAGTCTTTCAATTTTTCTGTAGGCTTAAAATTTTTAAAAAAGAAAAAAGGGCATACTGAGCTGATGGGTGGTAAACATTCCTTCCTACTCTAAATATAAAAATTCTAGACAAAACTAATTAAAGAGTTTAGCGCTTTGGAAGGCCAAGGTGGGAGGAATACTTGACACAATGAGTTCAAGATCAGTGTGGACAACATAGTGAGACCCCATATCTATAAAAATTTTTAAATTTTGCTGGTTGTAGTGGCACATGCCTGTAATCCCAACACTTTGGGAGGCCGAGGCGGGTGGATCACAAGATCAAGAGATCGAGACCATCCTGGTCAACATGGTGAAACCCCATCTCTACTAAAAATACAAAAAATTAGCTGGGCATGGTGGCGCATGCCTGTAATCCCAGCTACTCAGGAGGCTGAGGCAGGAGAATTGCCTGAACCCAGGAGGCGGAAGGTTGTGGTGAGCCGAGATAGCGCCATTGCACTCCAGCCTGGGTAACAAGAGCGAAACTCCGTCTCAAAAAAAAGAAAAAAATTGTAAATAAATAAAATATTTAAAAAGAGTTTAAACAGTCAAATTCAAAAGCAAGAAAGGGAAATACACAAATGCCATAAACCTAGAAGAAAAGCAGGAAGTGAAGAGTGGCGATCCATAGGAGTATCAAAATAGACAGCAACCTTTAAGCTTGGGGCTTGAAAGGGAGCAGGAAGAATAAGAATTACTGGCTGCAAACATAGAAATGTATGCACTGGAAGGGCCAAATTGAGTTTTCTGTGTGAAGTCAGGAGCTGGGGAAAAACTCCCCTCAGTGGTCCCAAGACGCAGCAATGGAGAAGGATTGGAATAGAGTGCCAATAAAAATCAACCATGAGACACCGGAATTCCTACCCTAGTCCTCACTCAGGAGTAAGAATGATATTAAGTCTTCTCATCCAGGAACATAATAGGGTTTACCTTTATGCTTACCCAGCTCTTCCTATAATAATGTTTTTAACTTTAAAAAGTCATTAAATATTGGGTAGCCAGGGGAGAGAATACATGCAACTACAAAGGAGTAGCACAATGAGGATCTCTGTAGTGATGGAATCATGCTGTATCTTAACTGTGATGGTGGTTACACAGCTGCAAAGGCGGATGGTTGTACTGTGACATCACAGCTGCAGCTACTATAGAAGGGAAAAATAGATTTTGTTGACTTTGGTGGATAACTGATAGTTTTTGCTACAATGGGTGGAAACTTCCTAAAGAGGCAACGCCTGAAGGATGAGATTTTGACAAGTGAAGGCAGAAAAGGGCACTCTCTTCTCACACTCCCAGGTGAAAAGGCTAAAGGAGAAACAGCTTGCCAACTGCAGATTGAGTTTTGGTGAAGAAGGTATTGCTGCCAAGCACCTCTGCTCCCTCCCCAACTGAAGAGAAAAGGAGCTCAGTTTCCTATCAAACACTGCTGATCCCATGATTTTCCTTAGAGCTTAACATGGAAATGTCGGTGAATTTAGCCAGAGTATGCAACGTTCCATTAGTGAGAAGTATAATCAGTTTCTGCAATCTCTCTCACCTGTATACCCTCAATTTTCTACCTCTTCTGAAAGGAAAATCTTGGGGCCCCAAAATCACTAAGCTAAAGGGGAAAGTCAAGCTGGAAACTGCTTAGGGCAAACCCACCTCCCATTCTATTCATAGTTACCCTTCAGCTCAGTGAGGTAAAAGCATATCTGATTACCTCCTTTAAAGAGGCTAATCAGAAACTCAAAAGAACGCAATCTTTTGTCTCTAAACTCCCTGTGATCTGGAAGCCCCCTCCCTGCTTCCAGTAGCCCTGCCTTTGCTCCAGTTGTCCCACCTTTCTGGACAGAACCAATATTCATCTTACATATGGTGACTGATGTCTCATGTCTCCCTAAAATGCAGAAAACCAAGCTGTGCTCTGACCACCCAGGGCACATGCTGTTAGTCATATAGGAGTTAAGAAGAAATCACGTAGGCACACAGTAGGGGTATGAGAGACCTCGGTAAAGCTTTTCTTTTTAATGAAAAGTAGCCGGGAGTCACTTTCTTTTTTTTTTTTGAGAGGAGTCTCACTCTGTCGCCCAGGCTGCAGTGCAGTGGGGCAATCTCGGCTCACTGCAACCTCCGCCTCCCAGGTTCAAGGGATTCTCCTGCCTCAGCCTCCCGAGTAGCTGGTATTACAGGCAAGCACCACCATGCCCGGCTAATTTTTGTATTTTTAGTAGAGATGGGGTTTCACCACATTGGCCAGGCTGGAAATCATTTTCTAACAAAGAGCAGTCTGTGAAATCAAGCTGCAGACAAGACAAGCAAGCTGGGAGCTTGCACAGGTGATTGCCAGCAGAAACTAGGGACTAGACGTGTTCAAGATAGAGACTCCATCTTCCCTTCTCTGCCAGCCATGTGTACAGTAAGGAGCAGGTAAGAAGGCGTCTGCCAAGGGAAAAGTTCGTTTGCATAAGATTAGGGTGGGACAACCAGCCTTCCCTGCATGTTATGTAAACTGCATATCTGATCGAACCAATCTGTGAGCCCTAAGTAAATCAGACACCGCCTCCTCACGCTGCACTATAAAATCCAGCGCATCCACCATATGCCAGTCTTTTCCCTTGGAGGACCCCGCTCTCTCAATAGAGAGCTGTTTTTCTTTCTCTTTTCTTCTGCCCATTAATCCTCTGCTCCTAAACTCCTCATGTGTGTCAGTGTCCTAAATTTTTCTGGCATGAGATGATATACCCTGGACAATGCAGCTGCTTCATCAAGACCTCTTAAGTGTGCTCAACTCTGGCAAAATAAACTTTCTAAATTAGCTGAGACCTGTCTAAGATACTAGGGGTTCACATCCTTAAATAATCTTTTTTCTTTTTTTTTTTTTTTTTTTTTTTTAGACAGTCTCGCTCTGTCACCCAGGCTGGAGTACAATGGCCCCATCTCAGCTCACTGCAACCTCCACCTCCCAGGTTCAAACTATTCTCTTGCCTCGGCTTCCCGAGTAGTTGGGATTATAGGCGCCTACCACCATGCCCAGCTAATTTTTGTATTTTTAGTAGACACAGAGTTTCGCCATGTTGGTCAGGCTGGTCTCAAACTCCTGACCTCAGGTGATTCGCCCGCCTTTGGACTCCCAAAGTGCTGCGATTACAGGCATGAGCCACTGCACCCAGCTAAATAATCTTAAGACTTGGGGAAAAAAAAACCATGACTTCTAGTCAGGAAAAAGTCAAGGATTCCTGCTCTACAACAATTAATACTTCCAGTTTTCTGCTGGAAGTTATTCCCTCTACATAACAACTTATCTAGAATAAGTGGACAAAAATACGAAATTTAAAAATGTAATTAAATTTACATTTCTGGGCTGGGTGCAGTGGCTCACGCCTGTAATTCCAACACTTTGGAAGGCCAAGGCAGGTGGACCACAAGGTCAGGAGTTCATGACTAGACTGGTCAATATGGTGAAACTCTGTCTCTACTTAAAAAAATACAAAAATTAGCTGGGCATGGTGACTGCTGCCTGTAATCCAGCTACTTGGGAGGCTGAGGTAGGAGAACTGCTTGAATCCGGACCTGGGAGGCAGACACTGCAGTCAGTCGAGATCCCGCCACTGCACTCCAGCCTGGGCTACAAAGTGAGACTCCAGTTCAAAAAAAAAATTTTTTTTTCATTTTAGATTCCCCATCCCCAAGTCAGGCCTCCATGTGCAAGAAAGTCTGAAGTCCTGCCTGCCTCAGCTGATCACCACCCTCCAACCCCCTATCCCCCTACCCTGCTTTCGCCATTATCCCTGATCGTCCAGGAGCTTCCCCCCCTCCCCACTAAAGCTTCCCCTCACCCCACCCTGCCGTCTTAACTACTCTTAACGCCTTACCCCACCCACCATTGTAACTGAACTTACGGTAATGCATACTCCTTGCCCCTACCCCTACCACTGTAACTATCTTACTCTGTTATACCCCTGCCCCCTCCCAAAAAGATTTGCCCCAACCTATTAAACCAACTCCTATCCCACCGACCTTCTCTAATGCCCTTTTTGGCCTTAGCCCATTTGCACCCAAGTGAATAAACAGCCATGTTGCTCACACAAAGCCTGTTGGGGGGGGGTCTCTTCATTCAAAGGGCGTGTTTTTAACACCCCAAATTAGCTTTAATTGTTTATCTCTTGGATGAGCTAAAATATTGCTCAAATCCATGTTTTTTCTGAAATTACCTTTCTATACTCAGCTAACTATAAAAGGGAGGAGCCAGCACCAGTAAGGAAATTAACACTGTGACATAAAATAACAGTGACTTTTAAATACCCTTTTCCTCTGAATTTAAGTCAAATCTTTTTGCAAAAATCATACTCCTGATTTAACAAAAAAAAAATGTTTAAATGAAGCAAGTAACATATATGCATCAGCATTATCTTCTATAGATCTAATTGGTTTCTCAAGTTCAATCTCTAAGAGAAATAAAAACATTGATTTTCTTACCTTTATCCCCTTACACACGTGATAAGGAACAGAATTCTCGGTGCTTACTCATGATGCTTGCTGCACCATCAGCCAGTCCTGCTGATTCAGTATGCTCTGTTTGATCCTAAAGGAAAAACACATTGCTCATTACATTTGCTGAAAAAATAAGCCCTAATTTTCTTCACATAAATCTATCACAGCCAGACAAATAAAAGCAATGGGGCTTAAACAGTAAATACAATTATCCTTGGGATTCAAAGACCTGGCTTGCATGCAAGGCAGCCCCAGACACATTTTATTGTCTGAGAAGACCAAAAGTTAAATGTTTCAAGGAAGAGTTAAGAGTCTCTACACGTTTATTTTCAATGGATAATGCAAAGTAAAACATCAACAGCAGGCAATTTCTATCTAATGACTTTAATTATACTAATTCATAAGAATCCAAACCAAATAAAACTAATGTTTCACAAGAATGTCCTTTTTTCTGTACACACAGAATTCTTGAGTTTCACAAATTTCCTGTTATCTTTATTGCCAAACTGTTTTCTTCTGCAAATGGAGTCTCTCGATTTCAGTCCTCCTCCAACTGCCTAGAAGCAATGATCTATTAACCCAATATTAACCTTTACTATCAGGGTGTATGCAAAAGACAAAGCCTCTTTAAATATTACTTCCTTCTTGTGAAAATATGATAATATCCATTAAGTTATGGTAGCCCAACTATAACTGCTTAGAGACAATGTAAAATTCTCTAATTTAATTTAGCCTTGAACAAGAATGCTAGTGGAAGCTAATCAGAATAAAACTAAGACTGTGAATATTATATATCAGCATAAAATATCTAACATATAATCATAGTATTTTCAGAACAGGTAAGTATTATAGATAATTTAATAAACACTACTTAATTTTAAAGATAAACTGAGGCACCAAGAAAAATTTCCTGACGTTACAAACATTCTATTATCAGATGTGAAAATGATGTGCTTACTTAAAAAATAAGAGAATAAGAAAAAGACCTAAAATTCAAGTTTCCAAGACCCAATAAAGACGAATAAAAATCACTGGTAAAAGATTTCCCTGTCTTCAGAACTAGAAAAATATGCACATGCTATATGATATACTCTAAATGAGAAAAGCTACTGACACTAAGAAACAGATTTATATATATTAAATAAAGGACTAAGTCATATCAGAAATGTCAGGTCTTCACATGCAAGCCTGGAGCCTGAAAGTTTGAAGTCCTACTTGCCTCAGCTGATTGTCTCCCACCCATCACCCAGGACAAGCCCCTCACCCCACCCTGCCATCTTAACTGCACTCAAGCCTGGGCGACAGAGTGAGACCCCATCTAAAACAAAATTAGCCAGGCGTAGTAGTGCGTGCCTGTAGTCCCAGCTACGTGGGAGGCTAAGACTGGAGGATGGCTTGAGCCTAGGAGGTGGAGGCTGTAGTGAGCTGTGATCATGCCACTGCACTCCAGCCTGGGCAACAGAGTCAGACAGACCCCGTGTCAAAAAAATAAAAATAAATTCTTTACTTTGAAATATAAAAACTGAAAAACAAAGGGAATGGAAAAGATAAGGATTTTTAAAGATTGTCTCCCTAGGATGTATAATGGAAGACAAAAATTTTAAATGCAATACAAAGGAATGTTAAAGAACAATCACGTAAAATTAAGAAACAAAGATTTCATTTTTCATATAAACCCATAAGAAAAGGTGACAGGTATAAAGATGATGTTTAAAATATAAAATGCAAGAAATTCATAGGAATCTCTGATATGAACATGTTTACAACAGAGGAATTATTTATGAGGGTGAAAATTTCCAAAATCCTGGCCATAGATTTTAAAAAAGAAAAGAGGCTGTATCAGAAAATATTCTCAGTTAAAGATGTTTCCTATCTTGGCTGTGATTAATACTATTCTCTACAAACAAATTCAGTATCTGACTAATAATCAAACTTTTAAATTTTATTTTATTTCTTAGAGATGGGGGTCTCGCAATGTTAACAAGGCTAGACTCAAACTCCTGGGTTCAAGTGATCCTGCAGCCTCAGCCTCCTGAGGCTGGGAGTAGCGAGCCCAGTAACAAAACTTTTTTTTTCTTTTTGAAACAGAGTCTTGCTCCGTCACCAGGCTGGAGTGCAGTGGCAAAATCTAGACTCACTGCAACCTCTGCCTCCCGGGTTCAAGCTATTCTCCTGCCTCAGCCTCCTGATTATAGGTGCACTGGAACTATAGGCATGAGCCACCATGCCCAGCTAATTTTTGTTTTTTAGTAGAGATGGAGTTTCACCATGTTGGCCAGGTTGGTCTCAATCTCTTGACCTTGTAATCCGCCCGCCTCAGCCTCCCAAAGTGCTGGGATTACAGGCGGGAGCCACCGCGTCTGGCCCAAAACTTCTTAACATTTCTTTTTTTTTTGAGACGGAGTTTCGCTCTTGTTACCCAGGCTGGAGTGCAATGGCGCTATCTCGGCTCACCGCAACCTCCGCCTCCTGGGTTCAGGCAATTCTCCTGCCTCAGCCTCCTGAGTAGCTGCGATTACAGGCACGCGCCACCGTGCCCAGCTAATTTTTTGTATTTTTAGTAGAGACGGGGTTTCACCAAGTTGACCAGGATGGTCTCGATCTCTTGACCTCGTGATCCACCCACCTCGGCCTCCCAAAGTGCTGGGATTACAGGCATGAGCCACCGTGCCCGGCCACTTTTTAACATTTCTACCAGGAAGTCTGACAAAGTGTTCAAACTCAACAGGTACAAAAATCACATTCAATCTTCCAAGTTCTCTCTTTCAGTTCCCAATCTTAGTCTGAGCAGCGTTCTCAAGTAGGTAGAGCAGACTTTATTTTTTTAAATGGTTGCTACCATATCTCTCATCCCACATAATCTTCTTAATGTGGTTGTGACATAGCACCTGTGACTCAGGTGTCACAGTCACATTAAGAAGATAGTGTGGGATGGGAGATTTTAACTGAGTGGTGAAATCTATGTCTCCTTCCTCTAATCTATGTCTCCTTCCTCTGGGCAGACATTCACAACTACCTCAACTAATGGAGCATAACAAAGGGGAAACCATATAATTTCCAAGGCCAGGTCACAAAAGGTCATATAGTTCTGCCTGGTCCTTTTGGGACTCTCACTCTTGGAACCCAGTTAACATGCCAGAGAAACCATATGGAGAGCCCACATTTCAGTGATCTGGTCCATGAATCTCTACAGATGAGAATGAGCAAACCTCAAGATGACTCTAGCCCAGCCACTACCTGACTACAATTGTATGAAAACTCTAAGAGAGAACCACCTGTCCTGGGGCAGTGGCTCAAGCCTGTAATCCCAGGGCTTTAGGAAGCTGAGGCGGGCAGATCACCTTAAATCAGAAATTAGAGAACAGCCTGGCCAACATGGTGAAAACCCGTCTCTGCTAAAAATACAAAATCAGCCAGGTGTGGTGGCAGACACTTGTAGTCCCAGCTACTCAGGAGGCTGAGGCATGAGAATCGCTTGAACCCAGGAGGTGGAGGTTGCAGTGAGCCAAGATCACAACACTACACTCCAGCCTGGGCAACACAGTGAGACTGTGTCTGAGAGAGAGAGAGAGAGAGAGCGTGCGCACGCGCGCGAGAACCACATCACTAAGCTCAGTCAATCCCCAGAACCATGAGAGATAATTAAATTATTTTAAGCCACTACATTTTGGTGTAATTCAAATGGAACACAGGTTAGTAATCTGACAGTCTTCAATCTCATATAAACATTTTAAAGAAAAGGGTAAAAACCTTAATGGGGCAGGAAAAAAAAAAAGAAAATCCACTGATGGTAGCCACTCAAAACAAGCTTTGGGTTTCTTACAGTACAGTTTACGACATAACTAATGTTATTCAAACAAAAAGCCAGATGAGAGAGGGGTCTTACTCCTTCTACAGTAGCTTATCAACATTGTCCCCCAACCCACATACACTACCAACAAGAGTTCCAATAAATGCATTTTTTATCACATTAATGTTCCGGTGCCATTTTGGTATTTATATATTGGCACCCCAGGAACTTACCTAGCAGCCAGCTCCTTAATGAGCATAACTGTGCATTATCATCCACTTGTCTCACGAACTCAGAAACTTAAGTACCATTCTAGATACTATCCTCTCCTTCTCCCAACTCTACATTCAATCTAACATCAAGTCTTGTCAATCTTACCTCTTAAATCTTTCAAATCCACCCACTTTCTCCATTCCCACTGCCATATCCCATAACGCCTCCATCTTTCTGTTGCTTGGATTTTTGCAAGAATCCTAACTAGTCTCCCTGACCGCTGTTTTGTACCCATCTATTCACTACACAAATACAAAACCCAAATCTGACTGTATCATTTCCATACTTAACACCAACCAATGTCATCCTATTGCCCTTAGGATAAAGTCCATACCTCCATAACATAGCAGACTTGTTCTGTTCTGTTGGATTTGGTTTCTGCTTATTTCTCTAGTATGACATCTTACTCTCTGTTCTCAAATTCTTACTCTATGCAGTAGTCATACTGATCAACACGAACCCTCAATTCTCAATCTTGCCTATCTCTATTTCCCAAAACACACCTTTATACCAATACATGCTACAACATGAATGGATCTTGAAAACATTATGCTAAGTGAAGAAAGCCAGTCACAACCAACCACATACTGTATGGCTCTATTAATATGAAATGTCCAGAATAGGCACATCCACAGAGACAGAAAATAGATTAGTGTTGCCAGAGGTTGGGGAGAGGAGGAAATGATTGCTAATGGGTAGAAAATTTCTGGGGTGATGAAAATGTTCTGAAATTATAAATGGTGATGGTTACACAACTCTGTGAATATACTGAAAATCACTGAATGTATGCTTTAAAAGTGAATTTTATGATATATAAATTATATCTTTAAAAACAATTAAAAAAAAAAAAACAAGTCTTTATCCATATTATTATTGAGGCCTCAAGCACTCTCCAAACTTTGCCCCTGCCATTGTCAGTTGATTCTTACCTGTCCTCCTCATCCTATCCAAGATACCACTTCTTCCATTAAGTCCTTATGACCTAAGTCTGAGATAGGTAGCCCTTCATTCTTGTGTACGTTTTGCCC